ATGATGTTATAGGTTTGCTAAATTAATTTTACCACCCACTAATGGGCTGACCTGATCTAAACACTAATCTACATCATGTATCACAGATAATTAAAAACCTTGTTAACATATACAACCGAGGTGCTAATTGCTCAATTCTATAGTGGGTACAGAAAAAGAAAAGACAGTTGAATATGGACAGAAACTACCTGGAAAGTTTTCAAATTAGAAAGAAGAATTAAGCCTTGAATATATGGGTAAAATATGGTGTGATAAAAAAGTAAATGGTTGAGAAGTTTAAACTGGGGGAAAAACCCTCAGATGTAAATGTAAAAAAATTCCTTTTTCTTTAAAAATAAAATCTAACCTTTTAGCATTATTTTTAAAATATATAAGAACACCATTTTGTATAATAAAAGTCTCAATAATTTCAAAGATTAGAACAAATTTTAATGTTTTGCCTACAGAAAATATACAGAATTCTGAAAAATTAAATACAGCTTCCAAAGAATGAAAATATACAAAATTGATTTGAACAGAACTTGATACAATATTTGTTTTATACCCTTGTTATAAATTCAAAAGGGGTCAAATAGTCTAAGAGCAAAATGATAGCAGCCTGAAAACAAGTGGCTGTATATTCCCCCACCCCCAGTTTTTCTGTGCTTCTCTTATATTCAAAGATTAATGCAAAAACAAAATTTTGGAATCCCCTCCTTGCTGACCTCTGTACACATTACAAAAAAAAAAAAAAAAAAATCCTAGGATATAATGAGGTATACAGCACAAAACTGGCTGGCTGAACTCCTCAATGGCTCCCCTGCATTCACCCTCAGAATTTCTCTCCCCTCCTGGCAAAAAGTAAGCAAACACACACAAATCCAGAAATCTATTTTGTACGTGTATGTAAAATGTGCACACCACAGTGCAAATATGTGATCATAGTTTTTAAATGTGAACGCTTGTCAGTTAGGACATGTCATTGTAATCGTTAGGTGAAACTTCAATCCCTTTGATGAAGATACCATCTTTGAGCCAAGCCCTGACAGAAAACCTTTGGTTCCTGTTAGACCCCTCCCTTCCCAGTCAGCTGCTGGGCTCCATCCGGAGGGATGGAGGCTCTCTCTCTCCATCACAGCTAAGCGTTCCCAGACCCAGGAGAAACCCTGGATTCCTGCAGAGCACTCGACGTGCAGCAAAGTGTCCCAACTCTGCAAAGGGCAGCTGGAAATGGATTTAAAATGGCAACGCGGACCAATCAGCGCTGCCGCGCCAAAGCAGACATTTACACGCGCCTCCTCCACATGCACAGGGGAACCTGGCGGTGCCTAACTCCTGCTTAGGGCTGCAGAGTAGGCGTTTTTATTCCACGGTGGTCTGTATCTTTGAAAAAAATAAATTCTTCCCCAGGTGAAAGTTTTTATTTTGGAATTAGTCCAAAATAATTTTGGGTGTGATGTGTGAAAATCTGAACCTAATTTTTTCAGAGTTTTGTGTTATTCAAGGATGAAAAGAGGTACATTTAAAAATGTACTCCACCTTTTAAAAACGGACTGTGGCCATTATGGTGTTCACATAACTCAGAAACAGCCCAGGCTATAAAATTAGGACTTGGCAGAAAGAGTTCTCAGGCAGAAGGTTAAATCGAGGTAAACTGAAGGGAGAGTTGGGCAGTGAGTGCAATTGTGGCGTTAGGAATCTACAAGGTGCCCTTTACTCTGCGAATGTCGGATCCCCGGGGAGGGGGATGGGGAGGGAACTTTGATTGCCTCTAGTCTTTCCTGGAGAAAAAAGTTCAATGAAGAAGCTGGCGCGCTGTGTGTGTGCACATTGCTTGCACGTGTCTGCGAATGTGCATGTCTATCTGCGTGCCTGTGTGTATGTGTGTGTGCGTAAATGCGTGTGTTTACGAGCGCATGAGTATCTGCGTGCAAGTGTGCATGTGCTTACACGCGTGTTCGTGTGTATCTGCATGCATGTCTCCGTGTATGTGCGCGCTCGCCCGCCGGCAGTCTCTGTGGTGAGGGCATTCTGCGGCGGAGTAGGGCTGTCAGGGCCCCTCTCCCACTCCTCTGCAGTCCCTTCCCGCTCACAGTGAACCGGAGCGCTGCCTGGGGTGCAGCCTAGACGCTTCCTGCAAAGTGTTGGCTCGGGACCGTAGAGGCGCAGGTAAAGGCCGAGCCCCGAAACGTGGCTCGGGGACAGTCACGTTCCCGCGCCTTCCCAGGACAACCGCCCAGGGGTGACCTCGAGAGGCGGGTGGGGCTAGGCCCACGGCGAGCCAGTCCGGGATCCCCGGCCTGTCCCTTTAACCCCGCCGCCGGGCGGGAGCACGTGAGCGGGGCTCCGGGTGGCACCCGGGCGCCGCCGCCGCCGAGGCAGTTGTATTTCGAACGCTGCCTCTGGCTAGCAGCCAGGCGCCTTGGCTCGGCGGTCCGCCTGGCCTCCCTCCTCCTCATACTTTTCTTCCTGCGCAACCCCCTCCCCTTTATCCGCCCACGATTAGAGGTGGGCACTCCCCCCCTTCCACCACCCCCTCCCCAAGCGCAAGCGCGCGCAGCACACACACCACACACACTCACACTCACACACACTCACACACACTCATCCCACTTGAATCTTGGGGCAGGAATTCAGAAAACTTCCAGCCCGGGCAGCGCGCGCTTGGTGCAAGACTCAGGAGCGAGCAGCCCGTCCCCCTCCGACTCTCCGGTGCCGCCGCCGCCCGCTCCCGCCACCCGAGGAGGCGCGGTGCCACCCACTGCTCTGTCCTCTGCTTGTGCTCCGTGCCCGACCCTATCCCGGCGGAATCTCCCCATCCTCCTTTGCTTTCCGACTGCCCAAGGCACTTTCAATCTCAATCTCTTTCTCTCTCTCTCTCTCACTTTCTCTCTCTCTCTCGAGCGGGGTGGGGGGAAGAGGAGGAGGAATTCTTTCCCCGCCTAACATTTCAAGGGACACAATTCACTCCAAGTCTCTTCCCTTTCCAAGCCGCTTCCGAAGTGCTCCCGGTGCCCGCAACTCCTGATCCCAACCCGCGAGAGGAGCCTCTGCGACCTCAAAACCTCTCTTCCTTCTCCCTCGCTTCCCTCCTCCTCTCGCTACCTCCACCTCCACCGCCACCTCCAC